CACAGCCAAGGACCTCTTTTCTACAAAATAGAGGAATTGTCAAAAGTAATTGATTGTCAGCTGGACCAAAGTGCAGACAGGAACTTGGGAACAGCATGATAAGTAATTTTAATAAATTAAATGATATATTTAAGTGACTAGACTTGAAACAAAGACAGGGAAACAGAAAAACAGAGCATTGGCATGGAACCAAGTAAAAGCAAATTCCAGCAGAAGGAAAACCAACACTTTAAAACACAGAAGAATGTAACAAGATAGGAAGGGTAAGCAAGTGAGTGACAGCTGAGGAGAACTAAGACAGAAAGAGAGCCAGCAAAAAATACTTCAAAAACTATGATATAATATTGATTATATAATATTGATTGACTAAAAAGCCAACACTAAGAATATAAACAACTATTAAGGACACATAGACATTTAAAGAAGCTCTAAAATATTAACTCTATTGGGTCATGAAAGAGCTGGGTTTAAAATTCACAATCTGCAATCAGTGAAGGACCTTTTGGAATACACATTATTTTTCAACCTCCCATGATGGCACACAGCAGGGCCGCATTACTTGGTGTCTGATCATAAAAGCCTTATCACTCGTTGAGGTCAACAGTTTGTCAGTCTCAGTATTCTAAGAACTTACGACTTATTTATCTTCCTTTGATTTCTTCCCTCTACTTGGTATCTGCAATAGTGCCATACAAGCAACTAAAACAGACATTGAGTACCTTAATGTTTTTGTAATCACATCTTTGCCTTTCTTTGTCAAATCAAACAACATAACATTGCAACCAGAGAATGGACTCTTTCTTACCTCAAAATAACAGTTTTGATGTAAAGAAGGACCATAAAGCACTCACCTTCACGTACAGTGTTTATAATAATAGCCAACACTTCTTCACTGGAAGACACAACATTCTTTGAGCAACTGGATAGCATGTTGCAAGGCAAATATTACCTTAATTCAAAAATACAATCATATTTCTATATTACAGATTTCATAGCATGACAATACAGAGTTCTATGGTTAATTCACAAGTCATCGTATAAAGGATCCATAAAAACATAAACCTACATTGACAGATAGATATGCTGATCGCAACTTCTTGCAGGACAAATTCCACCTAGAGGAGAAATATGGTGGCTTTAAAAAAAAAAAAAACAAGAGGTTGCAAAATTACTGATATACAGGAAACTCGCATCTTGTGATTGTTTTGGATTGAATTTCGAGTACTAAATTCATGATTTTGAATCACTCCTCTGTTGCATTGTTGAATCTTGAGATCCAAAAGTTATAAACAGGATACAAGAAACGTTACTTTTGCTCAATAGAACCAGGAATCATGATGTACAGCAGAAAGGTAAATTACCTGCAATTACACTGCACTCAGTCATTTACCCATTCACGGTAAGCTTCATTGTAGCTACAGTGCTCTTAGGCAGACTGACTGATGCCCTCTCCTCAGAGTCAGGGATTAGTGAAATGCAGGACCTGGTGAGTCTAATCAAAAGGGAAGTTGAAAAGGGGCTATGGGGGACTAAATAATAATAATAATAGAAGTTTATTGATCTCACACTAGAGAAATTTACCTCTGCGTTTAACCCATCCCCTTGGGGAGCAGTGGGCTGCCATTGTGTGGCGCCCAGGGAGCAGTGTGGGGTTAAGGGTCTTTCTCAGGAACCCAGAGTGGAGGCTGTTGGGATCAAACCGGGCACTTGCAACCTTCTCAGAGCACAAGCACACTGCTCTAACCACGAGGCCAACACTCCCCCAAGATAAGGACAAAGATGAATGAAAAGGATGAAGAAAGTCAAAGGAGAGTAAATGGTTTTAAACAAAAAAGGTTTTAAATTAAATAAATAGCTTTAGTCCAAGAAAACAAAAAGCGGATCGAAACACACCCAAAGCTTGCAATGTCATGGAAAAATGTAAAGACAAAAAAACAAACCATGCATATTTTGATTTACTACTTATACATAATTTTGTTTGACCTTCAGATTCTTCTGTTTTTCTACTTTTTTGCGGGATAAATTAGGATAAGGACTCAAACTGCCACTATTTTTTCAATCCCTTCATGTATCATGTGTTGCCTGAGGACAGCGGTTGTTCTGAGTTGATTAAAGTGTCTGCCAGAGCCAGTTAAATCTCCAAACCACATGAAAGCAAGAAAATTTTCCATCAATTATATTTTCATGGAGAAAATTTTCATAATCAAAAAGATCAAGAACAAGTTTTGAATAAAACAAAGTTGTGGCTATAAAAAGCTGAATCCAATGAGTATTTTGTCACAGATTAAACAAGATAAAATGTAAAGAAAGAAAAAGCAAAGGGAAAAGGAAGTTATTTTGACTTTGAGAGGTTCTCTAGAGGCAAATACATTGCTGATGATTGCCACTCAGTATTGATTAGAAAATCAATTATTTGGGTACCAACTTGGAGCAGACTTCAGAACATTTTCCAATAAACGATGGCAGACACTTAGACGTCAACCCAAATACACCTGAACATACATGACAGCTTGCGGGCACACAAGGGAAAGTTGAACAAAGTGACAGTGAAGTGGGAGATGGGCTGAAGGGTACATGAGAGCAATCTTTAATGAAAGAAGAGACAAGGTGACTCAAAAGGAGGCAAAGAAAGAATACAAGGAGATAGAAAGAGGTAGTGGGAGTGGAGGATGTTCGTAGAAAACAAGAAAAGAGAAGCTGACATAGCAGAGTCACAGAGAAAAAAGTTAGAAAAAGAAAAGGGAAATGAGGGAATGTCACACAGTAAAATAAATCTTAAAAAGAGTTGAGAAACTTATTTGATAGCAAGAAATATTTCAAAAAGCAGGGTAAGTTCAATTTGCCAATAACTTCTGGGGGGGACAGTTTAAGCTGGTCTGTAGTATAATGAGATTAAAACTATGAAGAGTCATATAGAAACCGTATTTATTTGGGGGAATAATTTGTATGACCAAAAATAAATAAAAGCCAAAAAATGTGGCATGAGAACAGAAGGTAAACTGTTTTTGTAATCTCGAGCACGTATTGCAGCACCACAGGGGCCAGCGGTGCGTTCCAGTTTGTGGCAACACATCGTACGGGGATATTTTAAACCATTATTATCACAAGACCAAAAACTCCCCAAAGTTGCAGCTTCAAGGGAAGCCGTACGTAAGCAGCACAGAAAGAAGAGCAGGGAAGAGAAATCCCACCACTCGTAAAATAAATGAGAAAATACGAATTGCCCATTTTTGCCTGTGCTAGCACATGGATAATAAGGACACTATGTAAGGCATGATCGCCATGTGACATCGCTGTTAGGGGCTCACAGCTGCCATGTGACTGTTGGGTCTGAAATAAATATGTATATATATATAAAATATATATATATATGTATATATATATATATATGTATATATATATAT